ATCCCTAATAAAGAACATTATCATCATGTACTGGTAATTCCGACGTCTTCCAGAAACGGTGATAATTCTTCATAACAAAAGGCTTTATACTAGTCCGGCCGTTGTTAGAGCCCCAGCCGCTAATGGAGCACAGGCCAATATTAGAGGATTTACGGTAGCCAAAGTTCTAATTGAAATGTTGAATAAAATCTCCCAGAAGGCAGATCTATGTTCTGATTGGTTTAATAAAAGGTTCATTTTGAAGGCATCGGTTCCACCAATCATTACGCTGCTGGGAGGCCGATCATTAGTGAACGCTCCATTAGCCCCGATGCGTGGGCGCGTGCGTGGAGCCCGTAGAGCTAAACGCTGCATCGGCGCACTTCAAAACATCATGTGACCGATCCAGGAGTGACTGACTCATAAAACTGTGTTTAAAAACATGTCTGTCAACAGATACGTATCTGATTAAAAAACAAAAAATCGCATCTTTTATAAATTTCAGTGTCCATATAATTATGGACATTTATGTTGAATATTCATATTTTCCAAATTTATAAAAATAGGCCTGTAAAAGTTTATAACAAGAGGCAAACTGACATTTTTCAGGTTTATTGACTCAGATAGGTGAACAAACACAGATTTCTGGCAGTAATTTCCCCCCATAGATCCCCTGAACTCTGCTTCAGGGAATCTTTACGGTTCCAAAAGGAAAAAACTTTTGGTCTGTTTTAAAGTTTGAGGAATAAAAAGAGATTTATTTATTTTTTTACAGGAATATCTCTTTATTTTTCCATGAAGATTTCAGGAGTTTCTTGTTTTTCTGGGTTCATGCAGCGCCACCTGCTGCCGGCGGCGAGTTACTGTCTGCTTTCCACTTAGACAAATTTTATTGTCATTTTACAAAAAGTGTATACGAAATAAAATTTCATTTCTTACAGCTTTCCAGACAGTAAATGAACATTTGTCTGTAAATTCCTAAGTAATTAAGCCATAGCTTGATGCTCTTTTCCGATCTGTAATCTGCTTGATGATTATAAACAAAATAAAAAAACCAAACGGGATCCTTTCCGATAAGTTCAACCATTTATTTCCAAAATAAAAAATATTAATTTACAGGTATTACATTTCCATAAAAAATGAAATATTAGGAGAGAAATAAATGGGGTAAAAAAAAACTGCGGCTCCAATTAGCCGACTGACGCTGAAGCAGAACCTAAACATCCAGAAACAAACCTGCACATTTACAAAAGAACATTGAATGTCCGAACACATGAAAACCTTCTACTTTTGGACATTTACTGTGACTTATGGTCTTAACTGAAACTGAATTTAGGCTCCTATAATTTCCATTCCGTAAATTGCAGCAGTGATCAAATGTAAACAGTATGGGAGAAAAACAAAACAAAACGCATTGATGTGGAAGTTCATCTTAGTGATGGATGCATTAGCACTGATGTGTGGGTGCATGCATGGAGCCCATAGAGCTAAACGCTGCATCGGTGCGTCTGTCGTCTCCAGAAAGTCATGTGACCGATAGACTGACTCACTAAACTGTGCTTAAAAACTGATCTTTAAACATTATGCTAAAAAAAAATGTCTAATCTTCTCTGATTTATCATTAAAATGATCCAGAATCTCTTTTATCACTCAACTTATCTGATTTAAAGTTTATTTCAAATTGATTCTTTGTTTATTTATTGTTTTCACTTTACTTATTGTGATTTAAAATCCTAGTCCACAAGGCAAGGCAAATTTATTTGTATCGCACAATTCAGTACAAAGACAATGCAAAGTGCTTTACATGATTAAAATACAGGAAGATAAAACAGAATCAAAGCAAGTAGGAAAAATATAAAAATATAAAATAAAAAATGCAGAAACAAAAAAAAAAGAATATTAAAAACAGTTTGAAGTTTTTGTTAGATTACATTTATTTATTTGATGATTTCTTTTTTTTTTTTCAAGCATCCTCGTTCACATTTCCCCCTAAATTTTCATGTATTGATAAATGTTTACATTATTTATTGGCTGCATCTAAAAATATCAAAGATGTTTTCAATTTAAACATAGATATGAAATAATAGAATATAACCTCCAATAACTTGAACGATATCATTGTTTTAGGTCGTCAGATCCATTCAGTTTGTCCAATCAGCTGCCTGTAGTGTCTTTAAATGTCCAGCAGGTGTCAGTGTAGAGACAGTATCTATGGTGCTAATCTGCAGTATTTTTTGGTTTGTTGTTATCAATGTGATGCAGAGTCTGTGACATGATTTAGAAAAATAAAGTAAAAATAAATCTCTCTTTTTATTCCTCAAACTTTAAAGCAAACCAAAAGTTTTTACTTTTTGAACCGTAAAAATTCCCTGAAGCAGAGTTCAGGGAACATATGGGGAGAAATTACTGCCAGAAATCTGTGTTTGACTAAATAAAGGTGAAAAAATTTCTGTTTGCCTCTTGTTATAAACTCTTACATGGATGATTTACGGATAAAGATTTTCTAAGAGCCTGTTTTTAAAAATGTGGAAAATATGAATTTTCAACATAAATAAAAAAACACTTAAAATGTGGATTTTTTTTTTGAATTGTTAAAATTAAGTGATTTTAAGATCTTAATAATTGATCAGCTACATTTAAGTATGAATTCTATTGTGACTGTAAATTATGATTAAATCAATCAAATTAAAATATGTTTTAAGGGAAAAATCCGGTCAGCGACGAATAATCGATTGATCATTATTTATACCTAAAACTAAAACCATTGCGGTGATTTATTAAATTTAGTGTTAATTAGTAAAAAACAATAATTTTCCTTGTGATCACTGAGTCTGGGAGCGGCCATTTTTTACCCAAATATAGTAGCCCCTCCCTCCTGCCATCTTCCAGCAGTGACGTCACGGTGCGGTTAGCCTAGCGCCAAAAACCCGTAATATGTAGCCAACATTTGGAAGAAGAATGTTTTCAAGATGACTTGGATAATAGCGCGTTGTGACAAACACCAGATACAGCACTGGGACTTGATCAACAGCCGATACCTCACCGTGACAATGTCACTAACCAGTAGGTGGCAGTAGTGTTCTTTGACAAACATGGATGCCTCCAGTAAAGCACATTCACATGAAAATTACTCTGAATTAAAAACACTGATCATTTATTGAACAGGATGGAATCATTTCAGATTTAAAGAACTTTCAGAAGTTTAAATCCTGAAAATGACTTTTCCTTTAAAGATTGTTAAAATCTCCCAGAATGTGGAAATGTTCTGTCAGTGCTGGAACTCACCAGCAGGGGGCGATGTTGACTCATACCTGGGGCGGCAGGAATCCTGTGTGGTTGAAGACTTTAGGATGTGATTAAAGCTGAATAACAAACTGATCCATTTTAGTCTGATTTGTTGGTTTATCTGGAATATTCTGGAATAATGAAAGAAGTGAACATCTGCTCCGTTTGTTTTTTGTTCCAGTGCCATGTGTGAAGATGGTAGTGAGCAAAGCTCTGGGAATCGGCATCATCCTGGGATCAGTTCTGGGTAAAACCTCCATCTTCCATCTTTATTGCTTCTCAGTCAAGAAACGCTAAACTCATTTGTTCGTTGGATAATTTCATTTCCTTTATTTCTAATCGTGTCTCAGGTAGGAGCTCCTTCTCCTCCAGGAGTCTAGATCCATCAGTCAGCCGTTAGATTCTCCCTAAATGACCTCCTCTGTTGGTCCTTAGAGGCAATCAGGCTGCAGCATTCTATATTCCGCAGCTCTATAATTCTAGGTGCCATTTTATAGGCTGATGATAGAACTCTGGGTCCCCCCCCCCCTGCATGTGGGGGTCCAGGGGCCTCTGGTTTTACTGGTTGGTCCAAAGAAAGAACAAATGTCAATCGATCCTTCCTTCCTTCCTTCCTTCATCCCTTCATCCCTTCTTCCTTCCTTCCTTCCTTCATCCCTTCTTCCTTTCTTCCTTCCTTTCTCCCTCCCTTCCTTCCTTCCTTCCTTTCCTACTTCCTTCCCTCCATCCTGTGTTTCTTCCTTCCTTTCTTCCTTCCTCCCTACCTCCCTCCCTCCCTTCCTTTCTCCCTCCCTCCCTTCCTCCCTTCCTTCCTTCCTTCCCTCCATCCTGTCTTTCTTCCTTCCTTCCTTTCTTCCTTCCTCCCTACCTCCCTCCCTCCCTTCCTTCCTTCCTTCCTTCCTTCCCTCCATCCTGTCTTTCTTCCTT